CCCGGGGGGCCCCTAGATTTTCCCCCCCCCCCCCCCCTGTAGGAAAGCCTTTTTTAAACCCCTTTCAACAAAGTGCAAAGAATGGTTGGCCCCCCGCCGTTAGTCCATGGGGCAAACATCTCCCTTTCCCTCCGGGGGAAAGATTCAACAATTTACCCTTTAACATACCCCCAAGATAAGGGTCCCCCCCCCCCCCCCCCCCTCCCCCCTGCAGATATCAGGCGACGTTGGCCCACCACTACCCCCGCGCGCGAACCCTCCTAAGGCCGCCCCAGACGTGGTAGCCGCGGTGACGGTTTCGCCCCAACAGGCACTATGGTACCGCTTGTCCGGAGACTACAACGCCATACACGTGGATCCGGAGGCAGCGAAGGCGGCCGGTCTTGAGAGGCCTATTCTCCACGGGCTCTGCTCGCTAGGTGCTCGAGTCGTCGTCGTCGTTCTTGTTTTTGTTGTTGTTGTGTTGCACGATGTGGTGCGGCTCGATATGGTGTTGCTGGCGTTGTTGTTGTTGTTGTTGTTGTTGTTGTTGTTGTTGTTGTTGTTGTTGTACGGCGCTGTGCGGGTGGTGGCTTCGTAATTGAAGCCTGCACTCCGCCCCCGTGCTGGGCCGGTGAGCGGTAAAATGATGACCGTTTCAGAGTTTTCGGAAGTCTCTCTAGTCCCTGTTGTGTCGGTACGTGCCCAGAGTTCACCAGCACTATAACGGACAACGGCACCATCCAGAACAGGGGCATTAGCTTTTGGCGTAGGAGTGGACACGTGCCCAGAGATTCGACCGTCACTACCGGGTACCGGCACACGGGCACTGTTCAACCGGCGTAAACAGGGACCTCTTCTGTGTGTGTGTGATGAACGTGTGCTTGGTGGGTGACGAGCGTGCGTTTTCGTTATGAGCGTGCATGTGTGCACGTGTGTCCGATGAACGTGCTTGTGCATGGAGAGCCTTGGTAGTTGGAACAGGGCCCGGTTTGCCTACTATCTGGGTCCTTTTTGGGTTTTCGACCCCTTCTTCTTGCCACACTCAAAGCTACTGTCTCGCCCCTTGTACACAAACAACGGGTTCCGTCAGGTGTCGCTGCGCGGGAAGTATTGCGGCATTTCTGTCCAGAAGACCTGTCTTCGGGGCTAGTGTCTCTCTACTGCCGCTTCTCCAAGGCGGTGCTACCGGGTGATGTCCTCGAGGTACGTTGTTGCTGCTGCTGCTGCTGCTGCTGCTGTTGTTGTCATTGCTGTCGTTGTGGTCAGTGTTGCTGCTGTTGTTGTGTTTATCGCAGCAGTACAATCTGTCCCGACCTCTACCCTGCTGTGCCTCAACAAGATGAAATCTGATATTCAACGCGCCTGAGACTCCCGGCGCTCTAGTCGATCGTCTCCGTGGTCACACGGATTACTTTTTGGAGCTCCGTGCGGTCTAGTCCGCAGGGGTTTTTTTGTTTACCCCTGGAGAGGATTGCCGCCCACTCGTAGCACGCAGGCGGCCACGTGACCACGTGCCGAGCGTCAAAATCAGCTCGCACGATTGCCCCTGTTGTTGAGTTGGTAGTTTTAACCTCTCTACCCCTTCCGAATTTCCGGCGTTTAAACGTGAGTTCGAATCTCCGCACAAGAGCCTCTCGCGAACGGCCACGTTGTGTCCGAACACCAACAGTGGTAACGAGGGATTCATTCGTGTATACATACAAAAGTTCGATTTCAAGGCCCGACTAGGGAAAGGAACTGCTGAACCAGTCTTGCGATAGCCATTACAGCAAGCACCACAGAGGAAGGTGGAGAAAAACAAAAATGTCCTGCAATTGGAGTTTGGAGAGATCGAAGATTCTTCTCCGTGTCGGGACTGTTCCGGTTCGTTCCCTGTTTTACGTTTCTTCCGTCCCATGTTCCACGTGTCTGCCGTTCCGTATTCTACGTTTCTTCCGTCCCGTGCTGTACGTTTCTCCCGTCCCGCCGTGGGGTTCTTCGTATAACACAGGACGCCTACTGTTGTGTGTCGTCGTGTCTTGGTTCCTCGAATCTCATTTCTTGTCAAAAAATTTTTGTCGTTGTCGCTTCAAGTACAGGTCAAGATGTGGGGACGAGCCGCTTCGCATGTGTGCAGTAGTGGCGGCGATGTCAACGATGCCGGAAACGAACGAATGGGTTCAACGGTAGCAGGGACGGAGGGAGCACCACCAGCAGCGGGCGTAAACGGCGGTGTGGCGATAGGAATCGCGAAAGACGGACGGAGCAGCAGCAGCTTAGCCACCACCCACGCTCGACGGGGGCACCGCGGATTAGCACCTCACCGAGTAGGGGTGGGGGGTTCTAGTACTCCTACCAAAGCGGCACGCAAGACCAAGGGGAGGTCACAGCAACAAGGGGTGGAGGAGATTCGGTTCGAAGTTTGCTCGCCCAGACTAGGGGGTGCTGTTGTCGTCGCCGATGGTAAAGCCGTCGTCAAGAGAGGGAAGAGGTTGGGGGAAAGGATGCTCAAAGAGGAAGTGGGGGCTCCGCGAAATCGATCCAGATTATGATGGTCGGTTGGTTTTTCACGAAGTGGGTCTAAGGAAATGAAGAAGACAAGGGTTGTCCATGTGTGTTCGATTTGATTACGTTTGACGTGCTTCTGGGTGTGTAAATCAGGTGCGCGCTGGGCGAATCAGCCAATTTTGTCGACGGTTGGTAACAAATCTTATGCACCTAATTCATGTCCCAATATGCTCTCCGCGGGGCATACGGCCAAGGAGATGCCTGTTGCAAGAAAAAGATAATTTTGTTCGAGACACCAGCACGAAGAGGAGACCGCGTGATTACGCGTGGCGGCACAAGTAGCAGGACCTTCGAGATAATTGAAAGTACGACAACTTCGGCGTACGTAGATGCAGCTTTGGTGGCTAAAACGAGGGCCGTTCGGCACGCCACACATGACATAATTCCGCAACCACCGGGGAAACATCTCATGGCCCCATCGATAATGTGACGTTGTGACAGCACGACTTTCAGTGCTGGTAAATGGGTGCCGTTGCAACGGTCTCAGATCAAACGAGTAGTAGAGAGCCGTCGGCAAGCGGCTTACACATGACGCCATTCTGCGTCAAGGAACACCGGAGAAGCATCTCATTGCTCCTCAATATGTGTGAAATTGAGACAACACAGCTTTTATGTGCTGGTAAATTGGTGCTGTCGCGACGGTCTTGCGCCAAACAAGGAAGTGTACGGGACTATACCGACGCCTAAAGCTTGTAAGCGAAAGTCTAGATCGTGGATTCAACTCAGTTGGCTAACTTCCCTCGGGACGTGCGTCCATACATATTTTGCCACGCGAATGGATATACTCGGACCCCGTCACGGTTCGTGGACGCAGTCTCATCGCATTCGAGGATGCCGCTCACGGCCACGTCTCGGCAAGATAAAAGATGACACGGATTATTCAGTGTTTTCGTTCCTTTGTTTACGTTACATTAAAACCAAATGGACACAGCAGTACGGTACAAAAACAGGCAAGTTCCGCAAGAAGTCTGACACCAACCTGCAACAATTTGGCTTTCGTGTAAAAACTTTGAACTACAGCGTAACGGTACACTCTTGGAAACACAATCCCCTTTGACTCAGTTGAAACAATGCCACCCGGCAGCTGCCATTTTCTCTTGGAAAAAAACGTCACTGGTGAGGGTAAGTCAAGGACACAATCCACTTAAGTCGAACAGAGTCCGCCGCCGGAAGGCGAACAAACCTCATGCCTGCCACGACAATCCACCCCAACAATCTTGACATTCCCAGGACAAATCGCAACGGAGCAGCACACGAAGTCGGTACCCTCCGACATGTGCATGCTCGGAACCATCCAACAGTATACGACTTCATGCAGCAGACACGCGTTACTTCGAAGTATGGGCTCGTTTAGTCGATTTCCTCGATCTTGGGCCCGGCGTCCGCTTCGGCCTCCGGCGCGGGAGCTCCGGCACCGGGGAAGCCGGCACCGCTCATGTCGGGCATGCCTCCAGGCATACCCCCCGGCATGCCGCCCTCGCCGCCAGCCATCTTCTGGATGATGGGGTTGCACACGGCCTCAAGCTCCTTCTGCTTCTCCTCGTACTCCTCCTTCTCGGCGGACTGGTTGCCGTCGAGCCACGCGATCGTCTCCGAGATCTTGGTCTCGATCGTCGTCTTGTCGGCCTCGTCCAGCTTCGAGGCAACCTGTTGACATAGGAGTTTTCGGGGGAAGGAGGAATGAACGATGTGAGTAAGCGAGCGGTTCAGCCGCATTTCGTGGAGCTTCACTGCGTTCGTAGACCGAGCTTCGTGCACAACGCATGCATGAGGCGACGTCATGACACATTCAACTACCAACGAGTACCGCGCCTTCCTGGTCTCGAACCTTTACTAGCGGCGGAGAGCTAACAGATGGCACCGAAGCATGGGTCAACCAAAAGACACGCACCTTCTCCTCGTTGATGGTGTTGCGCATCGAGTAGGCGTAGTTTTCGAGCGAGTTCTTGCCCTCCACGCGGCTCTTTTGGACGTCGTCCTCGGCCTTGTAGCGCTCGGCCTCCTCCACCATGCGCTCGATGTCGTCTGCGCTGAGGCGGCCCTTGTCGTTGGTGATGGTGATCTTGTTCTCCTTGCCAGTGGACTTCTCCACGGCGTGCACGTTCAGGATACCGTTCGCGTCGATGTCGAACGTCACCTCGATCTGCGGTTGGCCCCTGGGCATGGGCGGGATCCCGTCCAGGTTGAACTTCCCCAGGAGGTTGCAGTCGCGGGTCATGGTGCGCTCACCCTCGTACACCTGGATCAGCACACCCGGCTGGTTGTCCGCGTAGGTGGAGAACACCTGCGACTTCTTCGCCGGCACCGTCGTGTTACGCTTGATGAGCGTAGTCATGATGCCACCGGCCGTCTCGAGCCCCTGCCCGAGCGGGGTCACGTCGAGGAGCAGGAGAGAGTTGAGCTTCTCCGACTTGTCCTGACCCGAGAGGATGGCGGCCTGGACGGTGGCGCCGAAGGCGACGGCCTCGTCGGGGTTGATGGACTTGCACGGCTCCTTGCCGTTGAAGAACTCCGCCAGCATCTGCTGCACCTTGGGGATACGCGTGGAACCGCCCACCAGGACCACCTCGTGGATCTGGCCCTTGGACATCTTGGCGTCCTTCACCACCTGGTTCGGGTGAAAAAAAGTACAAGAGAAAGTGGATGGGAGGGACACAGGTGAGAAAAATATGGTGTTTGTTGGTAAGAGGCATGCGACTAGGTGCCTACGATGTCCATGTCGTTGCTGTCGTGGACAAGAGAAGGATGGTCTTGAGGTGTGTCCGAGTGTCTTCTCATGTTTCCGATCTTTTCTTCACTTTTGCCCAACATTCTTTTTGGAGGAGTCCGAGACGGATCCTCGGTGCGACAACAGCACCATATTTCCCTTCATTTTATTTTCACTCGTAGAAAACCTCGCAACAACGCCACCAGCAAACCCACCTTCTCCACGGGGGTCAAGCACTTCTGGAAGTAGTCCTGGTTCATGTCCTCGAACCGGGCGCGAGTGATGGTAGAGTTGAAGTCGATGCCCTCGAACAGGGAGTCGATCTCGATGTGCGCCTGGGTGGACGACGAGAGGGTTCGCTTCGCGCGCTCGCACGCCGTGCGCAGCCGTCGGAGGGCGCGCTGGTTGGTGCTCATGTCCTTGCGGAACTTGCGCTTGAACTCCTGCGGTTTGGGTGGTGGCAAGGAAAGGGTGCATGACGAGAGAAGTCTCAGCGATGATTGGAGATTTGCAGGGATTCGATGGTGCGCTGTGTGAAAGAGCGGACTTGTGCTTGTCGCAGCAGGCAGCAGCAGCAGCACGGCAGCAGATAGGGCTGCGGTATTAAGCCGATACGTGCTGTACTGACTTTTTGCGTGGACGATCAAGTCGAAAAACACGGCAATGTCGAATGCGCTTTTGTAGCAAAAAAAAAAAACTTGTTTTCTTATTACCGTCCGTCCACAACAACACTTTACATATACCGAGGCTGGCTAACAAAAGCCGGTTCACCCTCCGGCTAACAAAAGCCGGATCACCCTCCGTGCAACGCGATAACCCTTCGTTTCCCGGACGCATGCGGTAACGGCGTACACACGGTGGATAACTACGCACCTGCAGGAAGTAGTCCACCATGCGGTTGTCGAAGTCCTCTCCGCCCAGGTGGGTGTCGCCAGCGGTGGCCTTCACCTCGAAGATGCCCTCCTCGATGGTCAGCACGCTCACGTCGAAGGTTCCGCCGCCCAGGTCGAAGATGAGCACGTTGCGCTCCTCGCCCTTCTTGTCCAGGCCGTACGCGATAGCCGCGGCGGTCGGCTCGTTGATGATGCGCATCACGTTGAGGCCGGAGATGGCTCCGGCGTCCTTGGTCGCCTGGCGCTGGGAGTCGTTGAAGTACGCGGGCACGGTGATCACCGCGTTCTTCACCTGGAGATTTTGAAGAGAAGCGGTACAAGTAGAATTAGCGGGAGAGGAGTGAAGAGAGGATCCCGTTAAAAGCATGCAACTACCAGATGCCGTGTTAACTGAGTTCATCAGCCATGGCGAGTGGTCGTTGTCGCGGGAGACATGAGCCACACTGCAGAGATCTTTTCATTTGAGGAAGGAACGATTTTATTTTGATTTTTTGAACATGGAACAAGTTCCCAAAAAAAGTGCGGGAAAAGGTGGAGGACCGAATGTACACCTCTCCCGACACACGTGGCGACCAAAAGAGAAACGTGGACCCACTACCGAGGCTGACTGTGATTTCAACCGCAGCCATGCGTACACATGCTACGCAATCTCGTTTCCTCCGGGAAAACTCAACCACAACAAGAGGGTGTGGAAGGAGGCGAGGGCACTCTCAACTTTCGAAAAATTCGGAAAAGAAGCAGGCTTCCGGATCCAACTCTGACTGGACAAACGGAGAAACCGGACAATTAACAAATGGCGCCAATACGGGTGCGCACACGCAACCACAACAGACGACCCGCGTAGCTTCTGCGTTGTACCATCCGCACACAAGCGACTGCTGTTTCGCGTAACGATTAACTGTACGGACACGCGCTCACGGCCGAAAAGGCGAGCGCGTAGAGAGCAAGGTGTACGGGAGCTCTCTCCGTGGCCACGTATTGTTCCAGGATCGACATCAGAAAACCAAGGCGGCCACCTTCCAAGATCAAACCACCTGTCCCGTTGCACGCGAAGTTTACGACAAGATCGGCAGCAAACCCGAACGCACCACACTCCCACACACTCACCTCCTTGCCAAGGTAGGCCTCGGCGATCTCCTTCATCTTGACCAGCACCATGGAGGAGATCTCCTCAGGCGCGAACTGCTTCCTCTCGCCCTTGAAAGACACCTCGATCGTGGGCTTGCCGCCGGCGCCCTCGACAACGTCGAAGGGCCAGTGCTTCTTGTCGGAGGCCACGGCCGGGTCGGTGAACCTGCGGCCGATCAGCCGCTTGGCGTCGAAGACGGTGTTGGTGGCGTTCATCGCCACCTGGTTCTTGGCGGCATCGCCGATCAGGCGCTCCGTCTCGGTGAAGGCCACGTAAGACGGAGTGGTGCGGTTGCCCTGGTCGTTGGCGATGATCTCCACGCGGTCGTTCTGCCACACGCCCACACAAGAGTAGGTCGTGCCCAGGTCGATACCGATGCTCTCTCCCTCGACAGCAGCCATATTTGATGTGTTGGTGTTCTAGAGAAGGGGTGGTTGTGATTGTGGGCAGGATGGGCGCGGCTGGTGGCTGGTGGCGGCAGGCGTCGGACGAAAAATGGGGCTCCGCAAAACGCAGCGGACGAAATCCCCCTGCCCCCCCGTGGATCTGGCCTAATTACACCGCATATGTCATGTGTTGACGCCGCCGTTGACACCTTTTGCCTTGCTTTGGGTGGTTAGCCTGTGGCCATGGGAGACGTCCGCGCCAGTTGGGTCGGCACGGGTGTAAGAAGGTACTGAGCAGAGACCGGAGCGAGTTATTTAATGTGAAGACAACAAATAACAAAACATGTTGTTGGTTTCTTGGCGTGTGCGGCACACGACGGGAGGATCTCAAAAGTTTATGCCGACTCTAGAAGGGAAGTCGCGGTTTGGTTTCTAGAAGACTGCTGTGGTTCTATCTCGAACACGTAGTCTTTCTGTGTTTGTATTTATATCTGTACCTATAAAACAAAAGGAAGTCGCGGTTTGGTTTCTAGAAGACTGCTGTGGTTATATCTCGAACGGGTACAATAGTCTTTCTGTGTTTGTATTTATATTTCCTACAACAATAATGATTAGTCTAATAATACATCAAAACATTGAAAGACTACCGGTTCGAGATGCAACCACAGGTTTCTGGTACGAGTATTAGGAAGTATGACGATACTCCTCAGCAGTAGACAACACCGTTAAAAATATGAGTCGACAAGGTGGTGGGATTTGTTGTATTCGCCGCGCCAGGCGTTGGCCGCAGATGAGTGCGTTGTTATGTCCGTTGCAAAAACATAATGCCTCGATGTAGGCGAGTGGTACAGCAGTCCGTGAGGACTTCTCCACGGGGTGGTGGGTGTACAGATGGCGCCCGCACTTAAGAACCTACCTGTTAAGAACATGAGGCTCAAAAAATCAAAAACTCGTGAACATGGGCGTATTTTAGTGGTCCCCGTTAAGAACCTCACACTAAAACCTATATAATGGCCATTCGCAGCCTCAACAGGCAACTAAGAACCCCAACCTCACGCAAATTAAGATGTTCTTAAGTGCGGGCGCCATCTGTATATAGACCTCTCAGATCATGGTCCTGAAAGAAAGCATGGTCCTGTGCAGCATGTAAACCTGCACCCCTCGCCAACGGGTGATTGATGGCTTAATGCTCTGTGTTTGATGGAGATGCACACCAACTTTACACGATGTAACTGCATGGTGATGCTGAACCAACCTTCTCTCGATAAAAAAATGAAAGCGAGCACCGCCGGGGAAAAGGTCGAAAGAAGAAACTGCAGTGTTTACCTTCCTTTCGTGTGATCCCAATGACTGGTGCATCAAACATGTACCGAATGGTGCAAGACTGGTATTATTATCAATAGACGCGAAGAAAACACGACACACACGAAACTTTCACGCACCACCGCATCAGTCTGTTTACATGCGACGACTCTGATTATGTTCTCGAACCCTTCTACATCCTGCCCCTTCAAACCCGCTTCAGCCGCGTACAAAACAGAGAGTCCTCAAAACCAAAAGCTACACATGACCAGGCTACTCTTCGCTTCCAGCCGAAAACGTGTGGTCCCGAGACCCCTCTAATATACACCGGTTTTCGCCACCACTTCCGCCCCCGCAGGCAACCACACCAGCGCGCTTGCTTGGCACAAAAAAAGCGATTCAGCCCCTCAGCATTTGGTGCGCGTGTACAGATTGGCTGACACTGTATGGCAACAAAGGCCATCCTGAATAGACAAGCACCCAAGCGTCTTCCTGTCCAAACTGTAACAGGGGGTCCCGAGTGTTTCTACCCTTCAACCTCGTTGCATCTACACGCAACACACTACACACTCTGTAGTCCGTCTTCACGGAGAACACAGCCGCTAAAAAAACACGGGAGGTGGGGGAAAGGGAGGGCTAAGCACTGGGATTCGTAAAAAAAACAAACCCTGGCCAAGTCACGAAGAGTCGGGTTTCAGCATGGTCTACGCCCGTTTGAGCCACTTGCAGACCGGCTACTCAGCTACAAAGGAAAGCTTCATGCTTCTACTTCAAAACTCGAAGACCGTAAACGATCCTCAGAGACAAAAAAAGACACAAAACAAAAACACGCGTATGGACTCTTGGGTTGGGATCTGTACAAAACATGTTCTATAACCCTCGCGCATTTTCAAGCACCCCCCCCCTCCCCCCGCCGGCCCGAAATACGCGAGAATGACATCATGGAAAGTCCAAGGATTCGAGAGCAACACCCCTCCCGTCCTGCTGCAGTTGCCAGTTATCTGACGCGAAAGCCAGTCCCCTGTTATCGTCCCTGTCCCCGGCGGCGATGCGGCTCTTAACCTGGAGGCAAAGGGGGCGGAAGGGTTGGAAATGAGAACTGGGGCAGGGTAGGGGTCGGGGGGGCAGACTTGTGAACCTTTACCACAGCGTCGTACAAAAGCACAGACGCTCCCCACCCGCTTCACCCGCTTCACCCGCTTCTTGGAGCATGAACGAAAAATGGGGTGGTGGTGGCAGTGGTGGTTGTGGTGGTGGTGGTGGCAGTGGTGGGTGGTACTCCTATTGTGAACCGGTATTTTGTTGCAAGTGGACGCGGCAACGTGTCGCCTGTAAACTTCCTAGCTAGCCTTGCAGCAGCAGGGTTTCCTCATCCACTCTACAGTACCTACTCTAGTGTCTTGCCTTTTCTGCGATGGAGCTAGGGCTATTTATTGCTCTGTAAGTCTCAGGTCATGAGCTAATACTGGTCAATCCCGGAAGGATCAAGACAAGCAACAAGCGACAGTACACCCCCCCGCCTTCAAAAACAAAATACGGTAGAGAGCGATTTGTAGCGGGGTGTTGGCCGCATCTGAACAACGAGGAGATAAAGACGGTGATCCATCTCGAAAAAGGTGGATATCAATGCGCTACTATGACTAATAAAGGCGGGCAACGCAACCAGTACGCCCATCTCCGTCCACGACATGGGGAAAAAAATTATTGATTGCTGCCCATCAAAAGCACAAGCAACACGCTGGCAACACAGCGTAGAATACCATAAACTGTTTACCCTCCCGTTTCGAGTGTACAATCCTTTCTCTGTTCTGAAACAACTCATTGACACGTATGCATACAGCAGCAGCATCCTTTGCTCTGCTGACACAGCAGTTCATTGAACACGCATGTATGCAGCAGCAGCAGCAGCAGCAGCTTCTCACAAACCTCGCCCTCTCACAAACCTCGCCCTCTCACAAACCTCGCCCTCACACGATCCTGTGAGTACCAAGGACAGAAAACATATCACTACATACCTCGCACTCAGACGATAACGCGAGCACCAAGAAGGGCAAAATGTAAATTACGTGCCTGCGACAACGGAAGAGGCCCCGCAGAGTCCACCCGCACCGGCACGGCCCAGAGATCTCCGCCATCTCCGCTCCCGGTGTCTCCGGGGGCGGCCTCTCGCGCCTTCAAAGGCCGAACAAGAATGAGCGAGCCAAAAGAACAGTCGCCGCACCTGCAGGAAGGGGCGAGGAAAGGTCGGACGAAGCGACACATGTTTGCGACGGTACCATGGCTGGTGTTGCCCGTTCCGGCGGCGCATGGCTTGCATCACCGCGATCATAATACGGCACGTTCCGAGTCAATGGTCATCACTCGGTTCATGACCGTCATCATCGCTTCCACACAAACTAATCGCTACGTGGTTTTATTCTGTAGACCACAAACCGACCGCATCCAGGTGCTGCCCGCCACGTTGGTACGTCCGTCAACGTATCACACTCACACAGCTTCGTAAAGAACTGGGCCCGACAGGCGGGGCTCTGCGAACCCGGGCCTCAGGCGCGCGAAGGGGTGCGGCGGGTGGAACTGATGCCTGTAGGGAAAACACGCCTCGCAAAGCGTGTAGAACCCATTGCCAAAACCACAGCCGCCGCCGCCGCCGCCGGTTCGCTCCTCGCGCTCTTCCCTCGCCGGCGCTTCGCCCGAAGATCGCGGCAAGATGGTGGACAGCGGGGACGGCTTCTCGTGTTGCTGTTGCTGCTGCTGCTGGCGCCGCCTCACGCCCCTGCTAACGCCGTTGGCGACGCCGCTTTTTCCACCATGGGGCGGACACTTGCTCGTGTCGTTGGGCACTGCCGTTGCTGTGCAGCCTGCCGCACAGCGGAAGCAGGACCCCGTGATCGGTCCCTTCTTGCACCGGTCGCACCGCACCCCGTGGTGGGACGGGGGGCGCTCCTGGCTTCTGCGGGAGGAGCTCTTGGTGGCGACGAGGTTGGCGGAAGTCCAAAGCCTAGATAGCAAGGGGCGGGACGGGGGGGGGGGGATAACTCTTTTCTTACTTAATTGGGCCTATTTCATTAGTACAACTGAGCGGGAATCATGAACCATTCCTTTCGAAACGAAGCAGCACCGTTCCATTCTTGCCGAGATAATTGCCGACATCTGGACCCTCCGCGTTTCCCCACCCCATGGCTGTGCTGCGGTGCGGGAATTTTTCTGCTCATGTTATCTCCATATTTGTCGGAGATTTGTCGAGCAGGGGGGGGTCCGGGGAGGGGTATATTATCGTTTGGCCCCGACTTGGCACAACCACAACCACAATACAAGCAGAGGGCAAGCACCAAAAACACAACAACAATAACGGCAACAACAACAACAAAAACGACGACAACAACGACAATAGCAGCAGAGGGTAAGCGCCACAAACCCACCGGTGCTCTTTTTGACGGCTGCTCACAAACGAGAGATCATGCTAGAGAGCTTTCGACGGAAACATAGCTGTTCGTGTCACGCAAATATCAACCAAGATTGATCGACTGATCGCAAGACGCAAGTGGAACTCGTTGGTGCTTAAATGTACAGCGGGGTCAAGAGATCAACCAAGATTGATCGACTGATCGCAAGACGCAAGTGGAACTCGTTGGTGCTTAAATGTACAGCGGGGTCAAGAGATCAATCAAGATTGATCGACGGATCGCAAGACGCAAGTGGAACTTGTTGGTGCTTAAATGTACAGCGGGGTCAAGATATCAACCAAGCTTGATCGACTGATCGCAAGACGCAAGTGGAATTCGTTGATGGTTAAATGTACAGCGGGGTCAAGCAAACATAGTGTCCCACCTGAGCTTGGTGTGAGCGCAGCCGCTGCCTTGTTGGCGTGAACCGTACGCGCACCTTCGCATCACCGCTGCCGCTTGCTGCAGAACCCACCTTGTGCACATCGAAAGGAAAACAACGGGAACGTCACGCAATCTGATTTAAAAAAAGGTATATAGCACGAGGCAAACTACATACATCATGCCGGTCGCGGACTGACAGCAGCCCAAAATACGTGTGTTGAACGACGCATCGATTCCTGTATGTACAAGACAAAACACTTTGTCGGTAGGGTTTCTTGATACTCCATGACAATACGACGGAGCAAACACCCATCGAAACCAACTTTTCGTTTCATCGTGTGGCGGGTCCACAGGTCCGGACTATAAAACCAAGTGATCTCGTCACACCGGTCAAGGAGTTTCGGCCAATCGAACTTCGAGGGCAGCACGGCTGGCCAACAGGAAAAATGAACGGCACGTAAATACGTAGGCATACATAATGTCGACCCTCTTCCTTTGAGAAAATGTCGTGTTGACGAACTTGTGCTGGCGCACTGCAAACCATTTACGTATCAGTCGGTAGATAGGACATCATTTTCTCTAAACCGCACGTACCTCCGCTCATGCTCCCGTTGTTGCAAAAGGTGGGCGTTCTGCAGTTGCAAAACGTTGTTCCTCGTTCGCTCCTGCCACAACAAACTAAGCCTCGCCTTTGCGCCATCCCCCGCACCCCTGAAGCGCACGGCGGGAAAGGGGGATACAATGAAGAAACAAAAATCGTTAGTGTTACGACACTTTGCCTGTGCGTAGAAAATAGGTGTGGCACCAAGAGAGAACACGCAACACACGTGGGTGTATCAGCAGTGGGTGTCACATCGAGAGACACGTGAAACCTGGTACCAGACTCGTCTCTTCTCTCTTGCTGTTATTGTAAGCGTCCATTGTGCCATGGCGCCCAGGGTGTGCGAAGAACACACCAAGGATACATCAGCAGCAGTCTACGTGTACAGGCGTGCACATGTCTCCCCGTCAACGGAGGACTCCTATACATGCCGCCGAGGTTCATATCATGTTTAACATTAATACAGCAGTAGGTCGATTTTCAAAGCGTGCCTTGTCTTGCTGCGAAATGCATCGTACGTCATCGAGTCATACTGAACATGTATCGGTCGCTGTTGGCACCCCTCCCCACCTGAGTTATTTTCAGCAGTCATATGCAAAAGCATGAACTGAACAACCAGCGTATGCCACAACAGCTCAACAGCATGAACAGACCGACAGAAGCAAGGAAGCACACACATGCAAGAGGGCACGTGGGTTCAAATACGTGATGCACACCCCAAAACTGGATTGAGGACCAGATCAGGGGGAGGGGTGGGTGGGGGGTCTGTTATATATCGAATACATAGACATATGTAGGAAAAAGTGTGGTGTAGTATAACCTATACAATTTCTATTGTAAAGCATTTAGTATGCGTATGGCTATTCGAAACCTTACACCTCTCTTACTTACTTACTTCTTGAAGTAGGCTGCTGTGTGTTGTGGTACATTGCATGTAGTAGACTTCGTGTGTGTAGTAAAATCCTTTATATGACGCTGCTGCTGCTGTGAACCCTGTCTTCTCTATAGGGAACAGCAGACAGGGTGCTTGCTTGCTAATAACCTTCCTTGCTGTTGCAGGAGGACCACATTGATTGCTGCTGCTAAAGGGGCTACAAAGAAAGGTCTAGGATTTGGTATGGTCATATTCACCTCTCTATTATATGGGTTTTATAATGTAACACTAAAGCCTACATTATGGAATATACAGGCTTTATAACCATTGTAAGTCCTATACAATAAACACCTTGACCAAACTGGATTAAGCGCCTGAAAAATGGGGGGGGGGGGTGAGGGTGTGTGTGTGTGTGCATCACGTGTTTGAATCCACATGCCCTCTTTGACACATGCAACACATGGCAGCAGGGGCCAGGCGCGTGGCTTCTTGAACATGAAAAAACCAGGCATACAACACTTCTTCCACAACCATGGGATTAGAAACGACTCACCATACCCCTTTCTTCCCTCGTTGCCTCCTAGTGAGGTGTCCACGCCGGCCTGCAAGTCCGAAGTACGACTTGCATACGGCTCGGTAAGTCTCCGCGTTCCCGTACGTGTCCAACGCGTCTCTGCTGGTGAGTATCAGGCACACCAGGTCAGGCGGGGAGAAATAAGTCGCCAAGCACAGGTGCATAAAGGCGACATTGTTCCAACCGGTCATGCAGGTACACTCTCTTCTCGGTGTAGCACACTACTCTCCTGCCTACTGCTGTACACCGACACACACAGCAGTCGTGAGTGCCCAGAGTGCCCGCGAGGTCCTTAGGCGAGGCCCCGCAGATTGTAGGGTTTCAAGTTTTAAGGCGCCCGAACCCCCTGAAATTTTCTGAAACGGTTTTGCGGCGGGTTACCTGCCTCCTCGCGTGTTTTCGTCTCTGCGTCGCTGGTCTTTTTTTGATGGTGGTGGTGGTTGGTTTTTGTTCGATATTCTCGCTCTCTGCCCCTCCTCCGCTGTTTGTTTGCCCTACATCTGTAGTAAAAGGTGTTGGCAAATTGAGTGGGCGACCGCGCCGACTTGGGGAGGACAGAGAAGAAGCAACGACAAATAGGACTGCGTAGGGCGCACATCATGTAATCGATCGCTGCTTCTGCCAGGAACGACAAAGCTTCGGGAGCAATTTCAAAAAGCTTGGTGGGGTGGAAACATGTCGGTTCCCACCCTTGGCACGAAAGCGTTGTTCTTGCCCAACCGCAAGGGCACGCTGAAGAGAGACAGCAATCGTCGAGCAAAGGTAAACCAGGGGGCTTGCGTACAGAACTTGTTTTCCCGGGGGGACATTGGGGCAAGGCCTTGAGGTAGTGTGGACATGTGGACCAGCACCGTAGTTGTTCCTGTCGACGGCAGTACGAACAAATTGCAACAGAAACATGTACAACAGGGCTTCTGTACCCTTCTGTTCGAAATCGCACCTGATGCGTGTTCCCTGCTAGCGTGCACCAATAACCATGCATGCCTTCACGTCACCAGCACGCAGGAGGGGGAAGCAACTGTCGAAATTTCTTTGACAGAAAGACGCTCGGTGTTTTTGTTCCGGTATGGCGTCATTGGGAATCAATCAGTGTAGGACGCTCAGTTTTGGTTCGCTGAACGTTCACTCTAAAGACTTCGACACGCCTGGGGGGCTGTCTCCAAAGGCTATTCTCTGATCACGTCAAATGTATGTAGACTACATTTTGTACAGCATACAGTAGTCCATGAAAGTAATGTTGGATTTGCGTTGTGTAGAGGACGCTCTTTATGAAAACCGGTATGTAGCTCCGTGCAGCTCCTCCGTTGCTGATGATTGCCAGATATTGTAGTCTACGTCAAGTTGTTTATTGTGCCGAAGCACAATAAACAAGCTCGATAGTATCCCACGTTAGGGTTACTGGGTAGCACGATGGGACGGCAGCAAGGGCACCAAGCAACCAATCGTACCTTGGTGATGTCGCCAGTAGCACTAATTCTGTAACGTGAGAGCTCACCACAGTGTATGTTGTCGTCGGCATACCTAACTAATTATCGAGGCGACTAGACGGAATGAACTAAGATATGTTTATGGTTGGGATTCGGCAAAGAAAACTTCCGATGTGGGTGGACCCCAGCACCCGAACGCCGGAGCCTTTGCCACGTGATCACATGCCTTGCGAGGGCTGCGTTCGTTCGCTCGTTCACAACCCCACGAATTTGTTTTGTTGGGCCTGACCTCAGGTCCTTCTCTCGGCTTGCTGCTGGAAAAAATTCAAACACTCTTTTGCACACATTTCGCGCTCTCTACACGGTATCTTGTGAAGTGTTAACAACGTTCGTCGCACCAAACCCCACGCGCATAGCCATGTGCTTATCTTCCAAAGAAGGAGTGACATTTCTTGATCGCAATTACTGCTTCTAGACAAAGCACATTTGAACTACATGTAGATGTCTGTTGCATAGATGCGCGCCTTCTTTGTAAATCATGCGCAAACGGTTTCTCGTTGTGTCGACCTTGTGTGATCTAAGGCGCATCGCATGGCGCTGCAATCCGTGAGGGGGGACGTGGATACACGAGAACCTGCGAGTATGAAATTTTCCCGGGGACAACTGGTGGACATGAAGAAATTGCAGCAAGAGGTGAGGGATGAGGTAGTACACTCCATCTGTAGAGTATGCAACAGAGAACGATTCGGTAATAAGTGTATCATTTGGCGAAGTATGGGATTGGACGGTCGCACCGCAACTAGTGAGGGCGGTACAAGAACGCCGTCACACCGCTACAACAGATTTCTTCGAGTCAGCATCATCCTTCGCGTTCTCGTTGACAAAAACACATCAGAAAAAACGAGACAAGGGTACACATCGGGGTAACCTATAGCTGCACGCTGCGTGATACTGTGGAACCTCAACCATGTCCTGTGTTGCTTTGTTGGGATCAAAACTACGTATGGTTTTGGCACTCTCCTCGTGTTAATGCGCGCGCATGGAGGGCATTGACCTCATTGCATGCGTCCGTTACCCCCCTGGTTGACGGGGAAGTGTTGTCAATGAAAAATTTCTTTGGTAGGCGGGACAGCGCAGTGAATACCGATACTATGTGCTTATCGCTACCTCGTTGCCTTTCTTGGTGTTCAGGCGGCACGGGCGGAGCACGTCGAGAAGTGCAACCGCAAGTTGGTGGACAAAATGATGATGATCATGCAGGTCAGCAGCAGTGGCATCTAGTTGGGATTTGTTTTTCCTTCCGTGCGGACCGCATGTCATGAATGCAAGAAATGCGGCTTGATTTGTTTTAGCCCAACGATTTCACGCTGGTGGGGGGGTTGCACGTGAGAGCTGGCGGTTTACGATATCAAATGGGGCGTGGGTACTTAGTGATGTACAAGGCTTGGATCTTCAGAAGACCCACGAGCTGGTCTCCTTTGCGAGTCCAGTCAGGTCCGTACTAGCTATCGATGGCGAGCTTCACGCAGTTCTGTTAGTACACTGCCGTTATATGCACAATGCGGGTGCGACGATGTCGAGGCCATGCGACGCACTGGAATCTACATCTTCATCGAGCTCAACAGAACAAAAAACGTCCCAAGCACGCACCGTTGGTGGCAAGAAGCGTACTCATTCACCTGAACGAAAATTCGGCACTCCGTAAGTCCCGAACATGTGCAGAGATTACCCCGCCCGTGATCTCTCTTGACAGGGGCTCTGCGGCACGATAGTCTCCGAGCAGACGTTTCCGGACTTCAACCCAGGCACGCTGAACTATCGCATTCGGCAGCGCGAGCTGGTGCGCATCGACCGCGACAATCTGGCCCTGATGCACCGCCTCGAGACCGCGTCCTCGGGCTACAACAAGGCGCTCGTCAAGCCCAAGTATTTTCGACAGCCGCACATGGGGTTGTTTCCGCGGTACGCTTTTCGTCTTCTGTGTTTGCTTGAGGGGAATTGACATAATGGGGTATACCCCGCGTGTTTAGCCACAAAATGGGGTGCACGTTTCTTACGTTTTTTGGCCTGCGTCGGCCTGTGCGCCGTCTTCTAGACCCTGGCCTGTTCTCGTAAAAGGGTCTCCTCCAACGACGTTTTTTATGTAAGAACCGTCGAGGGCGTGCCCTTGGTTGCATGAACGTCTAATGCTGCTGCTGCTGTCGTCGAACAGGCATATTCTCAAAAACAGCAAACACAACCGCAATCACCAACCTTTAATACACATCCACAGCAGTGAACAATAGTAGCAGTACCATTGAAGTTTCGGACTCGCTTATACAATCGAAAACAAATCCTTCATCACATCAGGTCCGAGCAGAGCGTAAAATCGGCGGGAAGCAAGTCTCGAAAGCGAATACGGCCGGGAGGGCCACCAACCGCGCCTTCCTGCGGTAGCGAGGGAAGGGCACCCTCTCCATCGTTTCGTGCGGGGTGTGGCGGCGATGGTGGTGGCCGCAGCGATGACGGAGGGCTGGGATGGGGGGCTAGCGTAACCTCGGCGTTGACTGAACCTTCCTCGTTTCCCACCACCACCCTAGGAAAATTCCACGACGCTTCTTCCCCCGCCTCCGTGCGCAAAAACAGCGGGGGATGGAGGGAGAGCGGCGCGGACGCGCACGCTTCAGAGGTGCGACGTTTTACCATGCAGTAGATATTTCTGTGATACATATCAGGGATGTAAGGAAAGGGTGTGCGACGCACGGGCTGTGTAGGTAAGCTTCTACGCAACTACTACTCAGGCGTTGTTAGGCCGCCCTGGCGGAGGATGAGACGGGAGCGGCTGTTCATCTCCTTTACGGCATACATCACCATCCATCCGCACCGTTGTGTTGTCGCCTCCGTGCCTAATGCTTTCGTCCTTCTTTACGGAGCCTCGGTCATGGCCCGGGGTCAGACACGGAAAACGTTGCCAACTGTCTGCAGTGTTTCCCATTCTGTTCACTCAGAACTCCATGTTCACGTGCATGCGGTACGAAGTCACGAGCGATCTGTCGACTAGTCGGGTCAAAGGGAGGTTGGAGTATTAGGGCGTGCTGCTTACGTTCAGCCCCCCGAAACTGTAGGCAATGAATAAGACCACCACAGGCGGGAATGAAGTTGATTGTGATGCTGCTACTGTTTTGGTGCACGACGAAAGGCGTACGAGTCTACCAGGTATCTTCACACCCCGCACTAGCCTACCCGATGGTGGAGGTGTAGGGCAATGGCAGGTGCTGAAACGCCAGGCTACCCACCGCCAGATACCGCTACCGCCTCCTTAAGATATGTGTGCGCGCATATAGCACCAGCCCACATGACGCCTGCGGGTCAGCGCGCCCCTGATTTCCTTCCTGTGTTGTTCGTGATGCAGCTGAGAATCGATGAGCCCGGTGACCTTGGCGGTGGTGACGGCGGCGGCGGCGTTGATGGTGGGTCCGTACACCCGGCGACCGGGTTAGCCCGGACACCCCACCCTCCCTCGATATCCTCACGAGCTACTTGCGGCAGGTACGGTTTGATAAGACGTGGGGAAAGCGGGGGGCGATGCTATTGGCGGGGCATTGTACTTCAACTAATAACGTTTCGCCGCCGCAGCTCTTTCTTGGTTGAACAATGCGGAAAGGGTGGCTGATGGCGACTGAGCATAAAACATGCTAATTCGTGGAAACGCAGCTATCTAGACAAGAAAAGCGTCAGGGTGATGGTCATTTAGTACAACGGCAACCCGAATCCGAACCCGACTTGCGTCATAGGTTGTGACCACGGAGCTCGTCACTCAACGGTTGAGTTGAATTAGGAGGTACAGCTACGTAGAGGTCCAAACGATTTTTAAGGTGAAGGCAGCAACAGCAGCAACGTCATTCGCACCGATTCGTTCGTTTTCGTTTGATCCGCGCTTTCCGTTTTCCAAAGCCTCTCGGGCAAGGCTTCCTCAAAGTTGAGAAAGTGCCGGCGGTTGGCGAGGCCCACTGCGGCCAAGCCGGGCGCCACGGTGTTTCAAGGGGGAGTCCGAATCGGCGATGACTACGCCATAGTGATAGTCACGTGAGTTTCGTCCCTGCCGCCTCATCACGTAAAGGGAGATATGCAGTGGACCAAGAGAAGTTTCGGATCGTAGGGGTAAAGATCGTAGTAGTCATAGCTGTCTTCTGATATCTGGTCCCGTCTGCTCTTTACCTTGCAACGTCGGTACTGGTTCAACCGACGCAGATGCTTTCCGTGGTCACAGCTGAACGACTCAAACAAAGCGTACATGGAAGTATGGATAGAAACATGGAACCAGTGTGTGCCCACCGTTGCTTTCATTTTACGTAAAAAGGTTATAGACAATGTCGAATACCCTACAACCGAAAATATATTACTTAGAAAAACTTCAAAGGCACGAAACTGAACCCCCAGCTTCCAACCGAACAGCTGGATCGGATTGAAGGAAGGCCCCGGCTCGCACAGTACTCCGAGCGATCGCCACAGAGTTCCCCAGTTTCCGATGCCTAGACATACTTATACGGGATTGTGGGGATAGGAAGCACACAACCACCATTGCTATTGTCTTATGTTGTGGTAGTTCTGTTGGCTTGCAAAAGAACCAAAACCTAAGTGATAGCCAACTTTGCGCTCGGGAGAGTATCACGAGTGGTCGTCTGAGCTTGGATGCAGGTTGCAGGACATCCCGGGGGAGATCTGTAGTTCTCCTCCGCCTTCGAGTATCGTTCAGCATCTCAGGGTATTTACAACATATCACCAGGGATACGGAGAGGGGTCTGGGTGTGGTATCTAGGAGGGTGTGCGGTTTCTTGTGACGGTACCCAATTTCAAGAGCAGGCATTGCTCCTTCATTTGCTTCTTCTGGGTGAAACGGCAACGCCATCAGCAATAGCACCAACAAAAGCAACAACGAAACCCCAATCCTGTCGTCACCCACACGCCCTGTCCCGTGCGCACACACAACGAGCAGCCGGGCGACCGAAGGCTTTGGAGACAACGGCACCCAGGGTTTCCGCATCAAGGCATACTTCCCCCTGTCCGTCTCGGTGTACACGCTGGGGGTCTCGGCCGAGCACCTCCCCGTCTTCACGGCTGGCAGTCACACCGGTACGAACTGCCACTTTATCACGTGCACGCGTTGTGTTTTACCCCGTCATTTTTTTTGTCCTCGGCGCTTTCGTGGGACGCGTCGTTGTGGGAAGTTTCGTAATTTCTCTTGCGGTGTGTTGCCGTTTTCAGTTCCGCGCGACCATTTTGACTCGGGTACTCTGGATAGCAGCAACGCATGGTAAGGGCTACCCTCATGTACACGGGCAATAATTACCGCCAGCACGGGGATTTAACATCTGAGAAGGAACCTCCCACTCCTTCTTCCGCGCTCACCACACGCCCCCCTCAGCGGTGAGACGCCTGTTCCAGACCGGAGACAAGTCGAGGGGGAAGTGGGAGGGAGTGGTCGCTTGCCTGGAGCTGAGGCCGTCGACCGACGTTGCCGGCATGTGAGCAGCAGGGGTAAACAAGAACGGCGATTGCGACAAGAGTCCAGCTCCATCAAAACACGAAAAACGGTCTTCCGAATCATGTGCAGCCTTCCAACCCGCTTGTTAATATTCGACTTCAACTAGAGAACGAATGGGCGAGAGAGTGCACCGACCTGTACCTCAATGACGCAAAACCTTGCGCAGACAGAAAACCGCCAACTGAGCATCCTCTATTTAGCGTCCTTACCCCCCGTGCCCCGTGGTCTTCTCTTCTCCCAATCAGGCGGAAACCCGTCGAATCAGTGCAGTCTGTAGAGGGACCAACACCAGCCCCCTCAGCAACGGCGACGGGGACGAGGTCACCCGCAGTGGCAGTACCCGCACCAGCGGCGGCTGGGGTACCATCGGGAGGGATGGACGGTACCGAGGAACGGGTAGGGGCGCCATCCACCGGAACGGCAGGGGCGGCGACGGCGGCGACGGTGCCGATGGCGGTGGGAGTCGAGATGGTGTTGGTGCCCCCAGAAGACGCCCCGGTGCTCATTGTTCAGAGGCTGGTCAGGGGGTGGCTGTCGCGGCAACAATACCAATCGCTCAAGGTATGGCTGTTTTTGCCGGAGATGAGCCGATTTTTTTGCCCCGGTTTCCTTATCTGAGCTGTTTCGTGCCCTACGAAAAGAGCCTCCGGTTAAGGAGCACTTGCGGAGAAAATTGAAAGATTAACACCTCCGGCCGCCCCGAACGTTAGAAAGTACAAAAACAGAACCAGAAGCTGCCGTTCTATCCCGACCACCGCTGGTCATCTCTTTGCGATTCTCGGTTGTCATACTCTACGCTCGATCCACACCACTGAAGACATCACGAAGGTACTTCTTTTGTCGATTCGTTCGTGACCTCACCAGAAAAAATCTGCCTGTTGTGTCAGCGGAGCTTCAGACGTTCTCTTCGATGGACCCAAAACGTGTCCACCGCTTCGCTTCCGGACTGCTGATGGGATTCGCTGCACCTACGCGTGTTGTTGTCCGTTTGCTCTTCCAATCCTACACTGTCCAACGAAAAACTTTCTTGCAGCGGTCAGTCATAGTGATCCAAGCGGCCATCAGGGGCTGGAAGTACCGGGTGGCGAAGCGGAAGCACGAGGCGGCGACGAAGATAGCGGCCGTATCCCGGGGGAAACGGTGCCGTAACAGGGTCAAGCGGGAGCGGGCTGCAAGGGGGATCCAGGTATGCAATTTGAAAAATAACCACAAGGGTAACAGCGAAACCAAAGATAGAAGTAGATGCAGCTGAACGGATTGTTAGGAAGACCCAGGTGCCCAGTCTTGTGCTGCTGTTGTCATGTTGGTTTGACCCCCTGCACCCCACCCAAATGAAACGAAACACATACGACCCTGAAAAAGCAAAACTAGTGGTGCGTGGGCATAAGTGGTAGTGATAATATAAACGCATGACCGCCATCAAACAAAGGAGTGTGTTCGTGGTATTCTTCGCCTACACCGAATGAGGTATTCCGCGGTATCGGTCGACGACGTGTTTAGTTTCCGAGAAGAACACGTGCGTGATTTAGGGAGCGTGCGATCTCTATAAAGGAGATTGCCCGACAAATATTTCCAAAACCTCGCTAACGCGCCCCCGGCATGATGTGACTCCCACCCGCTGTACGTAGTGTAGAGAAGAACGCCATTACCCCTTGCCCTCCTCACAACAACTCCACCAACAAGATCCTCGTACGGCTGGTCGAAAAGATCGAAGTTGAGGATCTTGTCTCCCCCCGTCACCAACTACTCCATCCTTGTTGCCGCCGCTACACTGTGGATTTGTTTTTCCAGAAGCGAACGCGCTCGTGGCTGAGGAAGCGCGATGTTGAGAAGGACAGGGCAGCGAAGCAGATCCAAGCTGCCGTCAAGCGCCGGCGCAAGCGCCTCGGGCAGGACATGCGCCATGTAGTACAGAAGGAAGAATCGGTGAGAACCGCATCATCAGCAGCACCACAACTAGAATATAATATGAAACGGAACAACGAATTGTGCCCTTTCTGATTCCAATACTTCTGCTCGCCGCACATCCCAACCACGCAGTTCCACACAGCATCCATGTTTGAACACGTTTGCCACGTGCCTCGGTTCTTCTCCCCTAATGTATACTTCCAAAACGGCAGTAGCGGTCGTTGCAGCGAGCGGCAGGCTGGGTGAGACTGCGGCCTCTCGCACGAACGTTTTCATACTTCAGTGTCTTGCCTGTCAACCACCAATTCCGGTTTCCTGTGTGACGGAAAGGACTTTGTACAGTATCCACGCCGAGAAGGAAGAGCCGGGCGGAGAAACCCACCGTAGGTGACGTAGTAAAACCACGCCCCTTTCCCGCGTTTGACTCCCCGTCCGGCTTCCGCAAAAGCGAACGATGTCGAAGCTGAGTGGTAGATTTGGCGAGGCTCTTGACGAAATGTTTCCCGTGCTATGTACCAAGGTTTCGATCAGGTTCGTACAGTTGACACCCACTTTCAATGTATGTCTCTAGTAGAATAATCGTGCTACCTTCCGTAGTACAATCATTCCCATCCATTGCCCTACCCCTGTCTTCCCCCCGCCCCGCAATGAGTCAGTCCTTTCTCGTAGAGGGATCCTCCCCTGCAACATCATCAACAGCAAAGACGCCGCATGCCGGCGTGGTCGGTGCGCCTGGCCAAGGTCGCGGCCACAAGCAACCACGACGGTCACCCAGATTCGCCGCGACCTCGACCGGCAGTAACGACCGCAGCAGCAACAACAGCAGTGGTGGGCGACAAAAAGCTCTTGGTGGTGGTGGTGTGGACGATGCTGGTATCGGGTGTAGTATTGGTGTAGGCGGTGGCGAAAGAGGTGCTGGCGAACGCGAAAGCAAAGATACCGCTTCTGTCAGAAACGGCGCCGGTGTTGGAGGGAGCACGGGGAAGTCCGGGTTTCAGGTCTCTGGCGGCGGTGCCTCGCGTCGTGACCGTGGAAAAGGAGGAGCGAGTGGCAAGAATTACAGCAGCAACGGTGACAACAGCAGTAGCAGCAGCACCAACAACAACAACAACAACAACAACAACAACAACAACAATAACGCAAAACCTGCGGGTGGTGGCGATAGGAATAAAGGGAAAATTGGAGGTGGGGCGCTTACAGCGTCGGGAAAGATAGCAAGCACGCCTCCACGGAACCAGAGACCCAAGCCACCCGACCCCAAGGATTTCACGAGGTGAGGGATGTGCCTGTTACGTTAGGGGTTGGGGGTACGGCCGAGGCGAAATAGTAAGTATCTGCTCACGTGGGGGGCGGGGTACGTGTCATGCCGGTTGTCTATGCCCACCGGGAAGTGAAAGGAATGCCCCAATGAAGTCGGGAGGAGGGTTATATTTGAGGAGGGGGGACGGAGATGGACGATACTCGCTGTCATGCGTAGTCGTAGCCTTTCGCGGAGGTGTGGGGGGAGATCGTCGGGGGGTGTTTTTACTTGCCGCCTATGCGTTTCGAGGCGGAAACTAGTACCGGAGCGGCGCTCGTGGTTGGATAACTGCTCGCCATTCTCAACAGAGGCGGTTTGTTCTTACCAAAGGTATTGGCCTTCGGTGTTTGGAGTATGGCTTCGCCGTTCCAGTCGATTCTCCCCGTCGGGCTCAAAACCACAAGAATGACGCACAGCTTGATGCCTTCTGGTAGAACCAGACCCACGTCTTCTAGAGCTGCACAACGTTTGGTGAAAGAAAGAAAATGCTCGAGTTTGTTGTATCAGATGTCCCATGTGTTCACTATATTCTATTCACGTTTTTCATTCCCGAAAGAAAACACGGGGGGGGTCGGGAAACACGACAATAAGGCCGGCCCTGATTTGAAATGGCAACCTTCAGCAGTGGCATCAACGCCTCTCCCCTTGAATCACGCCTCCTCCAGGTCTCCTTATAGCCGCCCGAGGGGAGGATGGGTTAGAGGTGGCGGGGGAGGAGGAGCAAGAGGGACACCGGCCACCAACGGCAAAGTCCCGTCGCGTCACGCTGCGGCCGACCGCCTGCGACCGGCGGCACCACCCCGACCATCAGACGCCCCCGGTAGCCTCAGGCCCAATGGCGACCGGAGCCTGAGCGAAGGCGTTTCTGTGGTCCCACCGCCGATGCCGAAGTCAGCAAGAGCGACTCCGGAGGTTGCGGGGGCTTGGCCGTCGGGGGGTGCGGGGACAAGGACCGCAAATGCGGCGGCGAAGGCTTCAGCGGCGACGCCTACAACAAATGCAGCGGGCGGGACTCCAAACCCTGGTCCTGCCACGGACGCTGTTGCCGTTGGCAAGAAGAAGGGATTGGCAGCAGTAGCACCACCAAGAGCAGTCGGCAGCGATCAGCAGGATTTGGAGCTTTCCTCTGAAGCAGTACCACAGGATGAAGGCGTCAACAAAGACAAACCCACCACCACGAACAACAACGGCAACAGCGTCGCAGCAAACCGTCAACAACGTTCGTCGTCGATCCCTTGGGTTGAAGAAGCCGCCACCGGAAAACACTATCGACCTCCACCACCGACGACAGCAACGAAGGAAACGGCAGGAGAAGTTCAAGTCCTCGCCGGAGACGATGCAACTCCCAGAAGCACAAACAGAAGGCCATTTGTCGGACCTCCTGATACCGGACAAACCAGCAACAGCATCACCGACAAAGAATATACGAGGCAGGCGGTGGTGGCGGATGGTGGGGGCAACACCGACGGCAAGCGCAACAGCCAAAGCAGCAGTGACCGGAACCGCCGGACGTCGTCGGTATCGTGGGCGGAAGACATCGCTGAGGGAAACACAAACGGTGTACAATCAGAACCGTCACCGCTAGAAGCAGTGGGTTCGGCGGTCGATAACAACTCAGCGGAGGCGACCTTGCGTGCGGGCAGTAGTAGCAAAGGCAAAGACAAAAGCCAAGATAGCAGGGACCCAATCCGCCGGTCGTCGTCGGTATCGTGGGCGGAAGACATCGTCGAGGGAAAGGGGGGAAGGACACACGCACCGTCATCGGAACTAGACGACACGAAGTCGGTGGCTGGCAACACCACGACGGAGATGAAGCCACCTGGGGGCTGCAGTAGCAGGCAAGACAACTTCGACCAGCACCGCCGGACGTCGTCGGTATCGTGGGCGGAAGACATTGTCGAGGGGAAGGGGGGAAGCGCACGACAACCTTCGCCACAAGACTTGTTGGCGGTTGACAACAACAAGCTGGACGCGGCTTCATCTGCGGGTAACAGCAAGGGTCAAGAAGACAATGACCAGAACCGCCAGACGTCGGTATCGTGGGCGGAAGACATTGTCGAGGGTACGGGGGGAAGAACACAACCACACCCATCGGTTCGAGAAAGCACGGAGGCGGCGGTTGACAACAGCAAGATGGAGGCGGCGCAACCTGGCGGAAGCAGCAACGGTCACGACGACAGCGACCGGAACCGTCGGACGTCGTCGGTCTCGTGGGCGGAAGAAATCGTCGAGAGAAAGGGGGGAAGGACACCACAGCAATCACCTTCACAAACACGTGTAGAGTCGGTGGTTGACAACCACAAGACAGAGGCGGCTTCATCTGGGGGTAACAGCACTGCCCAAGATAACAGTGACCAGCACCGCCGGACATCGTCGGTATCGTGGGCGGAAGACATCGTCGCCGAGAAGGAGCACGGCACACGACAACATCTATCGCCACAAGAAAACGCGGAGTCGGCAATTGACAACAACAGGACGGAGGCAGGTTCATCTGGGGGCAGTAGCAGCAGCGGGCAAGATAACCGTGACCAGAACCGCCGGACATCATCAGCATCGTGGGCTGAAGAAATCGTCGCCGAGAAGGAAAACAGTGGGGCAATATCATAGCGACCACAACGAGGAGCTGGCCTAAGGTAGACCTCGCACCCATAAGGGGCACCGTTCAATTCCCAAACTCGCCGAGGGTTGTGCTTGTATTGCCCGCTCGGTGTCGCAAAAGATTGGGCGGGAGGCGAAGGCGGACGAGCGCGGTGTAGGAACGGTCTCAATGAGAACCGGTTTGAACATTCGTCGTTAAGGAATTCGGGTGTGACGCTCGCAGCGCGAGGAAAAGTGGTGTGATGTAGTGTGGGTGCGGGAATGTTCTCTTTTGGGTAAGGGGCGAGGATTTCAGCAAGGCCAAGCAAGCTCGGACGATATCTATCCGGATTGCTGGGACGCGAACAGTAGAAAAAGACTCGTAAAATAGAAATAGAAAAACACGGTCGTGCTCGTGCAATCAGAAGAGTGAACCCTTGAGGTTGCGGGGCACCTGCGTGAATCACGTTACGCTGTAGTACAAGCACATCATTGTTCCATACAGGGGGTACCACGAAAAGGTGCGGCCACGTGCCCGGTCGAGGGGAGGGGAGAGGGGGGTAGAAATAGACAAGATGATGGAGGAGGGAGCGAGGTGATACACACCTACAAACTTAGGTTAGGCTTGGGGGTTCACCTTCAAGCCGCGGAACATGTTCCTCCGCCTACCTGACTTGCACCTGGACCCAAAGCATGTACAAATGGCGGGGGGTGGTGGAAAGTGGGTAGGATGCAAGAGGATAGCCAATGTTATGCGGCTTGGGGTTTGTGTCTCAGAGTGTCGGTGTTGAAGAGTGCCTTTCGGGGGTTGGACGTGGTGAGAAAATCCAAAAATGATACCGTTTACCAGGACCTTCATTCATCGTCGAAGTTCCGTGTAAGTTTATTTTGTTCGCTCGTGCTGTTGAACACGACCTTTCTGTCTTCTCTCTTAGCTGCAAAGCTCCGATCCGGCGTCACATGTGTACCTTCGTTCACTTTCGAACACGCATGCTTGAGGTGTCAGCCAGCCTGCTGCCCTTCCATCGACAGTAACCAAAAGGTAGACAGACGTCATGGTCTTGCAAAAGAAAATATAAAGCTGTTTCTCATCAAGACGCCGCGCCCTTCGAAGAATTAAACTCCATATCTACACCGCCCACAAACTACAAGCCAGCGCCCCAGCCATCACCTCGGCCTGGGAAAGTAAACACGCATTCGCCACTACATTTTTTTCAACTCCAGTACAAAATACTCTTGTCTTGTGCCTCAAGGAGGGCACTGAACAACAGTCAGTCCTAGAACCAAACATACAACATGAACACGACAAGCTAGCAGTACCCACCAGTCGAGCTACAATCACCCATGCTACAACATCAAACGCCACTCATACATGCCACCAACAGCCCTCGACCCACACGAAACGGTTTACAACGAAGACAGAGACATTCTCTCTCTCTCTTCTCCCTCTCCGTCCCTTCTTCATGCATAGACGTGACTGCTGTGCCATCTCAACCTCACATGCACTGTGAGCAGCAACGCTTGGAAGAGATCTTACCTCGTTTCCGACAAAAGGCTCTTTTCGCTGAGAACCCATCCGATCCCGTCTGCATTCACCCAACCCACTCGGGAGCGCGCGCAACACCGACAACAGCAATAGTATGAAAAAAAAACATTAAACGAACCATCACAAAATATAAAGAAGACCCTCACATGACTTGAGCGACAGTCGCCAGGCTGCTCTGCTACCACATTCCCTTACTTCTCAGCGAGGGCAAACAGAAGTACCATGGTTCTTCGCGCAGCCCATCCACGCGTCGAATCCCGCCCTGAATGATTGAAACATACCATTACTTTAATTTTTCTCGTCGGTCTTTCTCTTCCTCGTGGCCCCGTGCCGCAACGGCGCTATTCTCTTGTGCGTCTGCTTGCTCGACGCTAACATTATGACCACCAACGTCGCCGTGCAAAACAACCAAAGCCGCTCCGACCCCAACACTCCCAAAACCAACAGACAACGTCGTCCTTTTTCCCATCAGTCACATAATGTGTGCACTCTTTGCACAGCGATGTTGTGACACTTATGAAATTAACCGTGTTATATACAAAGAACCGCGCGAGCAACGTTCTTCTTTGGGAATCTCGTCATCCATCCACGCGGCGAGGAAATATATACAGCAAGGCTTGTTAGGCCGGCAACGGCAAAGGCAACCACGCAAATGTGACCTCCTGCTCGTAACCCCCCCCCACAACATTATTTACATTCCTACGCACACGAATACCCACGCCGTCTTCTACTTACATATCCTTTCTCCCTCTTTTCAAGAGGACTCGCGTCTCACAACACACCCACACATCCTCGACCTCGATGCCGAAGTTCAGCTGATATTCCGCCCTCCTCCCTGTGTCAAGCTGTCGATATCATGATGCCGCAGGCCCAAGGGGAATTGAGAACACACACAAGCACGCTTGGGGGGAGAGGAGGCGGCGGAATACAAATCATCGTCCACCCTTCGCCCCCAAACATGCCAACCACCAACTTCTTCCCGTTATTTCTCCTTCGCCCTCCTCCGTTGATGTCCGCTAGGCTACTACTGTACGGCCGTGCTCGCTGAACAACGCTATTATCAAAAACGAAAAGACGAATAGACGCTTTTTTTCACGGCTAGTCTCCCTAGTCCAAACAGAATCGACAACGGGGAAGCACTCGGGTGTCTAAAAAGAAGACACATCCGTCCTTCGCATAAATGCTGTTCCTCCTCCTCTCCAAAAAGACCTTAGTTTGGCCACACCCCTTAAACATGCTTCCGGTTGGTTTCCGGAAACCCGCTGACAACGCCGCTGCCAATACAACCGTTACCCCACCACAAAATATGTACAAACTCTTCTTGTGCAGCATGTGTCATCAGCCGAGGGCCGAGCCATTATCGGCACCACCTCGAGGGGAGGGGGGGCAACGCTTAACGCTTCGTCATAGCCTTGGTTCTTCCACCGCTCATTCATCGCAACTCTCTCTTCCCGCACGGAGGACGGAGGTGACATAACCCTCGTTTCCCCCGCGGGATTGGCTGTTGCATCACCAATCAGGCGTTCGCCTTGAGGATGTGCTTGACTGTCTCCACCATGACGATCGCGGCGGCCGTGGCCTTGCTGGAGGCCACCGGGCTGTAGTACTTCATGTACCTGCGCGCATGCACGTAAAGTCGCCACCGTTCCGGTGAAAATCCGTCTGAAAGTGGTACAGTACCACCACAAAGCATGCCAAACTACAGGCACCACCTACTACAGCCCGCTGAGGTGTCGATGAGGGGATCCGAAGAGGAAAAACGTGGTATTATCCATGGACTAGCGCCCAGGCACTACTACTCGAGATCATAGTGCACCGCCATCTCATAAGACCAAATGAGCTAGATTTGGGTTTAATACATGCGCACGCACACGTATACAGCATGTAAAAAAGGAAAAACAGGGGGAGTTGTGGGCAGGACAATAACAAAATACACATCCAGCAAATTTTTTGCTCCCAAATGATGATTGAACCAAACGCTGTTTAACACACACTCAACGCACTACAAAACATCAACGACGCCTTCTCATTGACCAGCCGGTTGCAGCGTGAACGATCCCTTTTCGGAGGCACACGCACTCACGAGAAGAGGATGGGCCCCGCTACCACGGCGTAGATCATCCCCCCCTCCTTCTCTAGGTAGCGGATGAACGTGTTGAAGCTACCCGTCTCCCGCCCCGTCTCCTGGACGGCCAGCCTCTTGTCCTCGTGGACGTCTTCCTCGCTCGCCAGCTGAACGTCAAGGACCAAATCGAGCTGAAACCGCGGGAGCGTGGACGGGGGAGGGAAAGGATGCAGCCGAAGGATCGTGGGGTGTTTTTTGAGTATGTGCGGGTAGAAGTGGAGCCTCTCGACTCAACACGGTCGATATCTGCTCTTGGGGTGTGGATATGTCAGCCGAATGCTCCGCAAGGGAGACAACAACAGCAGTACCAACAACCTCTGAGTCACTCCCATCACCGCCGCCGTTGTGGCGTAGTAGTCTCGCTTAGGGTTAGCCGTCACCACCGCCACCTACAAGAGTATCAACAACAACAACAACAACAACAACAACAACAACAACAACAACAGCAGCAGCAGCAGCAAAACAACAACGGGACTCACCAAGTCCTTGCCGGCCACCTCAGCGGTCGCAGCCTTCTCAGCCTCCGCCGTCGCCGCCTTCTCAGCCTCCGACACAGACGATGCCGCGATCGAGACGGCCTTGGACAGACGCGCCGCAGCAGCCTTGCTCTTCTCCGCGTGGAACAGCAAAATCCCGTGCTTATCCTTCCGAAAAGGGGGGGGGCACCGCAGAGCGAGCGTGGGGGAGGGGGGGTAACGTAAGATCCTCGGGGACAGGAGGGCGAGAGGCCTACCCTTTCCAAAGCCACCCGTTGGGGAATGGGCACCTTCCCTATCGTGAGGGCCGCCACCGTTTTTCTAAAAAACGCAAGCCAAAGCCCTGTGAAATCGTATGGGGTCTACGGTAGTCATCCCTGTTGGCCTTCTACGGTTATTACTATTTCGTTTCTGCTCGAGCCGTTTATGATACAGTCCTTGTAATACGCGAACTGCCCGAAAAAGTGACTACCCCAATAGGGATCCCACAAACTTGATAGCCGAAAATGCAGGCAACAATAATGCCTCTGGCAAGTTCAACGGTTTCAGCAGTCTGCATCGGCTATGTCTGCTTTGCTCACCAAATCTTGTTTTTTGTATTTCGACTCTCACCTCCGACACGGTGTGGAAACCCAGGGCGTCATCGTCGATCATGAATGCACGGAGATCGAGGGATTCAATCCCCGTCTACGTAGAAAGCGGAATAAAAAACGCAGGTGGTGGTTCGCACGGGTCAGAGAAAAAGGAACAATCATCACTATTGTAAAACACTGCAACCCACAGCTCGTTGGAACAGCAGTTTACCAAAACGTGCACGGTACGTGATTCAGAGACAGCACCTGGTTCAGAGGAGCAGCAGCATCGCAGGAGAGCAGATGTAGTTTGCAGTTGAGGGTCGGTTTGGCTTGACGGCAGTCCCATTTTCTATGATCTCATTTACCAAGCCCATGGATAAGACGGCGTGTTGTTGATGAAATCGCCGCTTCGACAGACACGACATCATATGGTGCGCACAAGGTGTTATCCAACCTTGCTGTTCAATATCACGTTGGGGTTACGTACTCACCTTCCTGCGACACTTGTGCCTTCCCACGAACAAAAACGCCTTCGTTTTGGGGTTGAAACAGAACTCTCAAGGACACAAAAAAAAACTCACAGAACCTGCACATCGCACCTCCTCGAAGGTCCCGGTAACTGTCTGAGTCTCCGGAGTGTACGACAGTCCTCCTTCCATGGCCGCGGGTAGGGAAGAGCCGAGGCCGCTGCTTGCCAGAGTGATCTTCTCGCCCTCAGGGTCGAACAAGATCTCCACGTTTTGTCCCCTGATTTCATTTTTCGTTTCCAAGGTTAGCTCAGTACCCCTTGAAGAACGGTAGATCCTTCGATTCTGGGGGTTGTCGCGACTAGGGCCAACGGACGACCTTCTGTGCCCTTCGGGTTGACCGAGCACACGCGCCTCTTCTCGGTGAGGAGGCTGAGTCGGCGTTGTGTCAGGTTGGCTTAATCAACACACACCGTTACATAACCGCACTTCAAGGTCCTCATCGCCCCGTTTTGAACGAACGATCCCGTCGTTTCAAGCGTCCAAGGAAAAATCCTGAGATTTCGAGATTTCACTCGTTGCTTTACGTTTCACCTTTTCGATATTTATGTTTTTGCGGTCAACATCTTATCTTGCTTGTGACTCGATTTTGTACCATACTACAGCAGTCGAGATTTGCTCAAGTCACATGTGCATTTAACGGACGTCGTTTCTCAAAGTTTGATGCAATGCACAACCAGAACGAACGGTGCACCCCACCTTGCGACGTATCCGTGCTTGTCTACGTCGATGCCTGGCAGAAAGTCGCCCTCGCAGAAACAGAGTCGCCACAAGCCTTCCATCGTTTGCAGGGGAAGAGGGGCTGCCGCCGCAGCCGTGACGAGAACCACACCAAGAAAAAGACAAGCAATTGGGCGGGGGGTAAAGACCGGGAGACAGCAAAGAGGGAAAGGGGTAACGGCAAGAAGAGAGCGACATTAGCAGCGGCGGCAAGCTTCATGGAAGGTTTAGTCTCCACGGTTTATTAGCTGCTCCGAAATCCACACGCGGTGAATAAAGTCAAAAAAAATATTTTTACCTGACAATCCCGTCGTGAGCTCCAGCTCGGAGGAGTGGGCCAAGGAGTGCAGGGCCTCGAGCGTCGTGGCCTTGGGGACTGCACAACATTTTGTGAAAACAAAAAAAATGCATAGGGAGTTAGAGACAAGGGAAAAATAACAAGATGACGTGTTGTAAAAAGCACGAAGTATATTATTGGCAAGACAACAAGGGTACCATGCAAGGTGTAGAAGGTGCAATACCCAATAACGAGAGCTCCGGAGCCAATAACGACCATCTTACAAGAGTGTGGCATTTGACATCGGCTTTCTCGGAACCTCGCCCGAACAAGCGGTTTATCGTGGTTTGTGACGCTCAACACACGGGCAGCGACACTATCATCGTGCTATACATGCAAATAATATAGGGGCCACAGAATGCAAGAAGAGCGAGGCCTGCCGCGGTTGTTTCCAGTTGTGGTTGCGGTACACACCATACGGTTGCGGTACACACCATACGGTTGCGGTACACACCATACGGATGTTGGGTGGCTTGTGATGTACAAACTTCAACCACCGGGCGTGGTGAGGGTGGAAGGGTAGACTGCCCTCGAAGTGCGGCAGGTTTGTTAAACTTGGGGTGCACGGAAATCGTCCAGAATATGTCATACCATGTTCCATGGTATTTAGTTAGGGGTCTGGGCGGCAAGTAAAGTGGAACGGGTGGTCTGTGACGTTATGTATACTTTCTAAAAAGTCGAGGAACGTCTCTCACATCCAAGTCTGTACCGCTTTGTTAACGGTCACTACATGTAAAAGTTCACCGTAAGAATTCCGGCCACTGTCTCTTCGTTCGTTTGCCAGCACTAGAAATAAGTGAGCCAAATAATTTATTTTCACGAAAAAACACCAACCCGGCAAGTGTTGCACCACACATACACAACAAAAACTTGATTTGTGCGTGCGTGCCTCTGTTTCTCTGCGAATCCACAACTAACTCAACACTGCTGCGCGGGTATGTCGTTTGTGCGGATCCCGTGCGTATCTCTCCGGCAGCCCGCCTGCTGGGCCTCCCCTACTCACCCACACGTTTTTGTTGTTGTCTTCACATTGAAAACCGTTTCGGTCGCCGCTCAGTACCTACCTTATGATCCGGACAATGAAGTACATTTTACCACGTGTTTTCCAACATCAATGAACGGCCCACCCTTCCCCCGTGACCGTGGCGAAGATGCACATCACAGGAACTCGGCGGCGGGCGAGGGGGGGCAGTAGAATGTGGCAACTCTTGTGGAAGAGAGAGAGAGACTTACGTCTCGAACTGGAGTCTTTATTTCAAAGATTGTGTGTTATTTTCTAAGAGAAACCAGGCGTGGCGCACCCGCCCGATTCTCACCCAGCGTCGTCACCCGGTCCCTTCTGCTGCAGCTTTTCTCTCGAGAAGAAAGATTCATTGATTACCATCGTATGCATAGGACAACCTAAATCCCGCCCCGAGATGGGACGGACTTCCCGGTATTGTGTGGACTGCCTTTTGTATCAGTGGGGGCTTGGCACCGAAACTGGCCGGAACAATTACTTCTTAGTTGTACTGATCGCAGACTATGCATATAACCGAACAGCAAGATTGGGCATTTTTTTTCGGCCCCTCCGGATGAACCCCCAAAACACGACGTCCAACAAACACAGAAGCAACGATCAACTATTCTACATCTACGGCTATAATGACAGATAGATCTGATTCTACAGCAGCAGTTGTGCGATTGTTTAGCAGAGGGGGGCGCGGGGGGGGGGGAGGGGGGATTATCTCGGTCGTGCTTGAGACGCACCATCCATAAAAACATAAAAACGAGAAACAACGAGCCGACAACAATCGACGAAAATTCGACAAAACGAGACGCTGTGCTGGGTGCGCTCTCAACGGATACAAAAACGACGTGACTGACTGGACTGACAGAGAGAGAGAGAGCGCGAGGGGCCGGGCGCCACGAAAACGGAAGATCCTGACAAAAGTGGTAGACTGCTGGTGCCTCGTGTCGCGAAAAATAAAACTCAACAACAGACTTCCACTCCGCGTTCGTTGTGCACCAACCAGCCAGCGTGTGCGCGTCACGCGGAGAGTTGCGCGCAGATTTAAACCTCCGAAGCAGCAGTTACGTAAGAAGAGTCGTGATTCACGAATAATTTCGGATCCAGTCAGCACGATCATATACTTCCTACAAAGGGTGAGATCGTTTGCACCTGTTTTCGAAGTCGCTGCCTCCAAGGCGATGGCGCGAGCCTGCTCGGAGCCGATGAACAGGCCGTGCTGCGGGCTGCCAACGGTTATGGTCTCGATCGTTGGACTGCTTGCACGGCGGGGGGGAGAGGGCAAGAGGAGCACAGAGGAATTGCGAGCTTCTTGGTGTGTGTGTTGTTCTGCGAGAGAGAATATTCCAACAAACGCGGCGCACATCTCCACACGCCCACCAGACACCAACAACCGAACACCACAGAGCCACCCGCCTCAGAGGGATGGCAACCGCAGTAGGGGGTTCAAGTCTGTGGGGGTCTTTTCCAGGCGGCCCTGGGGGGTATCGCCCCGGCAAGTGCTCGTACCGTAAGGTTGCGAGTCAGCGCACAGGGGTGCGAACGATTTTCAAATGGTAATTTCTCCACAACCAGGAGGTTACATTACCACTGTCGAAGAGGGCGGTTTTGGAAATATCTCATCCACAGCTTTCCTGAGAAGTATCAGTTGGCGCTCGCACCCGCCTCCTGGTTGTGGAGAAATTGCGCTTTGAAAATCGATCGCACCCCTGTGCGCCGACTCGCAACCTTAGGTACGTGTTGAACCCGATGATGACGGAACGGGCGGACCTCTAACTGCCGCTTCGGGTGCAACCAAAACCCTTCCCCCCGGCCGGGGGCGGATCGCGGGCGCGCCTAACGTTCTCACCTAGGCCCCACGAGGGTCTTATCCGCTGCCGTTCTAGGCTTCCCGTCCACCTTGTTCTTTGCCACGTCGGGCTGCGGGGCCTTGCCTTTCCCGCGAGGGGGTCCTGGTGGCGCCCCGGAGAGGAATCCGGAAGCGGTCGCAAGAACGACCAAGAGAACCGCAACCACCTTGCAGCAGCGAGCCATGACTTTAAATCGAGAGTGGTCCGTGGCTAGATCGATCGAATTTAATTTGGTTGGAGGGGGGGGCAGGGTGCGTGTTCGGTCTGTTGGCGCTTTCGGTGGCGGGGGCTGGGGAACGGGAAGTTGTGCGTCAACTGGTGTGTGGTGAGTCAATCGTGTGATGCAGAGTGATGGAGAGTGATGGAGAGACACGGGGGGGGCTCCGTCACGTAACCTCGGGGGCCGCATTTTACTGGTCAGAATTTGAATTTGTGAGAGCAGATCGGATCATCGGATCCATGGATCTCTGCCAATCCCAACGTCTCGCACATACCGAACACCAACGCGCCTGGTTACTTCAGGATGGACACACCGGGACTAGATATAGGGGTCATGGAGTGTATCTGTGTGGGCAATTTATCTGAATCCCGTTGCTGAGCGAAACCAGAGGGGGTGAAAATGTCTGTTGGTCTCAAGCTTCAACTTCACGACGGTTGAGGTACAGCACACGGCAAATAAATGCCACAACACACGCACAACTCGAGTTGCGGTACAACGGTAACTTGATTTTATTTTGTTCGCCTCGAGAAAGAGCACGGACAAGGAGTCACTGGATATGTTGGGGGAATGCATCAGCGGCAACACGTAACAAGAACAGTAGTGATTGTCCGTGGTCGACGAGCTCAACTTGAACCGAAGCTTTCCGCCGTCGTCATGAATAATACGAATTGCGGGCGGGTGTGTAGTCCCGAGACTACAGCACTAAGTGTCTGCTGTGTGTCTGCTGTGTGTCTGCTGTAAGCAGACGCACGACCACATGCATGTATTTGTCTTGATCTGTAGTGGGCTCTTCGCCCTGAGGCAAACACAAAGACAGCACCTACAACCTGCTTGTATAGTTGCAGCGCGACCCAACCTCTCTGGTAAATGCGATACTCCTAAAAAACACCATCAAGAGGGTCCATTTTACTTGTTTTCAACGAAAGGCTGACCAACCCCCTCAGCACTCAGCACCACCGTTTCCAGCACAAAACCACCGTTTCCAGAACAAAAGAAGGACAAGCATTCTGTCTGCACCCAGCTTCACACAAACACCACAAGATATGCGAATCTCTCACTACACATTGCAGATAGAGTAGAACGTGTCAAGATTCCACTCGTATTTCGCCCGGTTGATGAGGTTTGCTCCGCGTTACTTCTTAGCAACATCCCTTTCGTTGTGTGATATGATCCACGGGAATCTAGCAGGTTTTTCCGCGTGGCTAGCGGGGGGAGGAAACTGAACACCCGGCTTTCTTACGACGGACAGGCAATTGTACCCGCTGATGCTGAGCGGGTCCACAGGTGGTATCACCAAAATCCACCTAGGGGATCGAGCTACAGTATGTACTGTAGTACCTCTTATCTTGCCTCCGTAATCACGCGTCATATGCACATCTCCGCAAACAAGAAATAATTCGTTCTCTCTCTCGTTGCTCTAGGTTTGGTTTTCCGAGTGCTAACCTTACGCTGTGCCAGCGAGCTACTTTGTCTGACGTTTTCTGGCCGAACGGGCCGAACCACTCGTCATCGTGCAACTCTCCATCAAGAAGCTGGGCTGACCCGAAATATAGCCATGTGACTCCATGTCTTATATTCTCTGCTAACTATAATTTCCTGAAACGCACAGCTCGGTGCCGTCCCCATTCACGTGGATGAAACCAGTTGCGGAACCCCGCCCCCCCGGGACCCACCTTAGCCGGACTTCGTCCCGTGTGAACGTTGTGGGCAACACGAAAGATCCTTGCTTCTGTAGTGCTGAGATTGCACCCGTGGGTCCTGACCTCCTAGGTTTCCTTTTCGCCATCTCTAGACGGGTTAAGGCTGTGGCGCAGAGGTGCACGACAAGGGTACAGGGCTGGCTACTACGTCGTGTTGGTGCGTCGACTGGAGGATTTTGGCCGACGTGTCGGTGACACGACTACCACTACTTTGGTGCTTCTTGCCGCAGAAGGCGCTCGCTTCTTTCTGTTGACCACTCCCCCGGCAGTCGTAGCAGCTCGGTGCTTGTTTCTAGTCGCTGCTGCCCTCGCTGTTCTCGCCGTTCCCTGCCGCTGGGCATGAGCTGCTGCTGTTGGTGGTGATGGCGGGGTGTTTGCCGTGATCGGGGTATCAGAACAACGCCCCTCCTCCCGTGCTCTCATGGTGGATGTTTGCAACAAAAGACGTGTAAGCTCAACGTTAGCGTGAGCCAGTCTGTCGCAACCTTGACAACGTTTTTCGCCCGGGGCGTCGCCGCTGCAGCTGTTGCCAGTGCGGTGTTGGTTTCGGCCGCGATGTGCTAGATCCTGGGGCTCGGTGGTGGTCTTGTCTACATCCCTCTTCTTCATGTTGATGTTGCCGATGCTGGCGGTGGCGGAGGCCGTGGTACCAGATTCTCGTGCTTTGTGCTCTCGTGGGGTGACATCGAAGTCGCTGCACGGGGGGGCGGGGCGCCACGGATACGGTAGGAATAATAAGTGCTGTTAGACACGACGATGCTGCCGTCAACGAAAAAAAATTCCCTCGTGACAGAACCGGAGGAGACTCGCAATGCCCCCCTTCTCCCCGTCACGACGTGTCGAAGTCTGCGTCATTAATCTCTCTTCGTATGCATCCTGGCGGGTCTCCTAGCATATCACATCGCTTCCCACACTGTAAAAATGCCTATCTGATCGATGAAACCCCGATATTCCCGGCCCCGGTGTTTTGAACGGAGGTGGGAGTCAGCGTGCAGGCACGGCTGCGGACGTTCATGATGGTGAACACCTATCATTACTGAGACGATCGCAGAAGGTGTCATTAGTAACGTTGGCCTCTCATTCACCCTAACCCTCAACGGCCAAGCGTGAGCCCCTTGCCGAAGCAGGCGACGTGAGTGGACCATTGCCTAACCGTAAGAAACGCAAACTCCGCTTGTCCTTGTCACTCACAGATCGACAATGGTGCTGTAGCCTATGAGACCACAAAGCGTCCCTCGCCTAGCACGAAAGACGGTATACCCTTGCTCACACACACACAGCCTCAAAAAAACTTTTGACACCGACATCGCGACTTGCTTTTCCTCTCCCTCTGCTTCCTCCTTTACATCGAAGGACAAAAACGCGCACAAAATCAGCGACACCCTCTGTTTCCCTTCCCTTTTAGAACCAGAAGGTTTGACTATCTTTGAGTGTTATTTACCCACGACAAGATTCACCCCATCTCGGTTAAGTGCACCAAACAATCAGGTTCACCTCTCTCTTAGCCTCATTGACGCTTCTTTAATGACCAATTCGACGAGTCGCCTGCCTAGCCTCTCGCAGTTGTTGGAAGCTTCAACCGCCCTGGTGGGGGTTGGGGTGTGAGAAGAGCGAGAGCGCAAAATAAAAGCATTGTTGTGGTTGTGGTTGATGGTGGTGCTGTTGTTGCTACCGTTCTTGTTCTCGATGTTGTCTCACACGGGGCACAGCAGAGTGACCTATAGTGGGCGTTTCGTATTGGAACTTATAGACGAAATTCATCATGAAAGTCTCACCCAGAATCACAAGCTGTTTTCTCACATGCCGCAAAGCGGTTCTGGACAACCGCAAATGTCCACACGAAAAAATTGATCCGGGTCCCAGGTGTCGGAGAACGCCAGTTCAGATTACCACCTCCACATGTATTTTGACTTTTTTCTCACCTGAGGCGGAGGGCCGGAGATACGGACCCCCCATCCTCGTCGATCCCTCCTCCTCCTCCTCCTCCTCCTCCTCCTCTCATTCCGTTTTCTGATGCCGCTGTCGTTGTTCCTTCCATGATAGTCTCACCACCACGCTGTTTTTTTTTTCCCAGGCCGCCGAGGACCATTCGCAGCCAGGCCTCGTTCTTCTGGCTGCCGCGTACGTACGATGAAGGAAGGGCCCAGGTAATGTCATTGCTGATATTATTGTTGTTGTTACTGTTGTTGTTGTTGTTGTTGTTGTTGTTGTTGATGGCGTTCTTATTTCTCGTCACCGTCGAAAACAGTACATAACGAAACTGTCTGGCCTCCATCCGGAATGCCGAATATATCACAAACGCACTCCAAACGCATGGAAGAACCACAGCGTCACAGACGGTTTCCCGCCCACTGCCTCGTCGAGCAATCGCGTTGCGGGCGGGAAGAGGCTACCCACCTGACTCGCCGGAAGGTGCAAAGGGCCCCTTCATTCTGTGATACCAACCCACGATCGGAATGGCCCTCAGGACAGAAGGTAGTTCGACGACGTCTTCCTCAAGGCATGGCATCGACCGCGCTACATAACCGACTTGCCGCTGTTGCTAAAAAAAACAACAGTCTTAGCGGGACGAATATTCAGAGAAAAGCTCAGGATACTCTCGTTTCCTAGGCTATCACCGATCGCGCCAACCGGCGAACGGGTGGGCGGGTGTTTGGGATGGGACCCCGCTTTTGTTCGAGAACAGCCGTGGGCACGCGGCCCACTCCGCAATGAAGGGCTGATTTACGCGGGGGGGGCGGTCCTCTTGTCAGATCAACCCCGGACCAGAGTGAGTACGTTCAGAGAGAGAGGGGGGGGGCGAAGGCGGTCATGGTCGTGGCAGGAGTAAGAGCTTCTTGCCATGCGACAACAACAGGTGTTGCACATTGAAAGGAGAGCTGTAAACGCTGCCTTCCGCCGTCGAAGAGCTTTGAACACCCTTAAGAACGTGAGAAGGTACAGGGGATAGCTCAGGCCTTTGGAAATTCCTTTTGAGCTCATCTAGAAACACAACAAAAAAACTGTACAGCAGCGTGCGTCGCCGACAAGAGAAGAAGCAGAAAGGACAGAAGGACGAAAAGGCGGAAAGAGGACGGGAGAAAGAAAGGAAGAGCAGTACCGCACCTTGCGCCGTCGGCAAGAGCCTTGAGCTCCTTCAGGCAGCGACGCTCCCCCTCCTCTCTGATTCGTTTCAACGCCGCCTTCCTCTCCGCTGAACTCCTGTCCCTGATCGCTCGCAACCCTTGTTCTTCTTGCTCCTGGGGACGAACAACAGCAGTGTAGCAAGGACAACAAACTACGCGTTGGGGACGAAACTGTTACAAATCACCACGAGCAAGGAGTCATGATTGAAAGTTCAACCCCCACTCCCGGATGTCTTACACTCTCATTCATCCCCATTTGTCCACGCGTTTTCGGACCCTTTAAGATGAAATCATGTTGTTCTCTCATCCCGGCTTTCATGTCGGGGGTACGTTTCCGCGAAGGATAGACTCGATGTTGCACCCGAGCTCTCGGTACTTGGACTCTTGCCAAACTTCACCGTTCAGTGATTGTTGATTGTTGCCCAAGCCTGACGTCCCTGCTATTTTTCCATTTTGCCTTGTCGTCATACGCGATTTCGGACGGTCAGGTGCGTTTCTCTCCGTCACGAGAAACATTTGTTTCCTCTCTCTATATATATAATCTGTATCTCTCTCTCTCTCTCTCTCTCTCTGTCTCTCTCCCTCCCTCCCTCTTTCCCTCCCTCTCTCTCTCTGTGTCTCCCCCTTTCTGTATCTCTCTCTGCTGCTTCTTCTTCTTCGTTGTCAATAGGTATCCTCCTCTCCCATGCATCCCCTATTGCTGATTGACATGTTGAACAGCTCTCTTGGTCGCACAGAAAACGAGACTCACCACCAGTAGCTCATCAAGTTTGACCCTAGCCCTGTCAGCGGCCTCACCCAGGAGGCGGAGCGCCTCTTCCCTCCTGGCGGATGTGGAACGTTCCGCCTGTTTCCACAGGTTCGCCGCCACGTGCGACGATTCTCGCCTCGATGTACAACAACAAAAAAAATGCCGAATGTTGTGACGCTCACCACGGTTAGAGTTCAGGGATTTATAGAGGGTGTTTGATGGTGGTTCGCTTGGGGTGCTCGACGGCAAGTCGTCTAGAATTGTCTACACAATACGCCGAGTACATGCGGGAAAGAACGAAAAGACAAAGGGTGACAAACATTATTTGGTTCCTCGGCGTGTGCCGCGCTCTACGGTTGGCCCTGAGCGCGCTTGACTCTCTTCTTGGTGTATTGGACCGTTTCTTTTCTCGCGCCAAATATTGTACCCGAAATAATCACGCCGATGTGTATTGGGGGGGATGTTTTCGTCCTCGACCAACGCGTACTTGACCCTCGAAAAATATGTCCATGACCTGGGGTATCTGGGTTTGTCTTATTTTTCTACTGGCTGTATTTAGTACGGTTTTGATTTTACTATATGTTAAGATTTTAAGTTTCGAGCGTTGGTCAAAGCCTTTCTTTCGGCTCGCCTTTTTTGTGGTTACGCGCGATTTATTTCCTACTTCATAAAGGTGTTCTTTCGAGACAAAGCTGATCTTCGTCAGATAGGAAAATGTATTCCAAACACGAGCAGTTTCACACACACGCTGGCGTCCCGAGCGTCGAGCACCTTCAGCTTTCTCTCGGCCACCAACCGCGTATCATTTTGGATTTGAAATTTCGCGTGTTAGTCATACCCTTTCCTTCGGGTCGCCTTTTCTGTTGTGACGTGCAATTCCTTTCCTCCTTCATGATGATGGCTTTTCGAGCTGAAAGGAAAATGTATTTTCAATACGAGCAGTTTTACACACCCACTGGCATCCCGAGCGTCGAACACCTTCAGCTTTCTCTCGGTAACCAACCGCTCCCGCTCCTGCTGCAGCGAACCTGTCACCACGATCACGAAAAACAGCAACCCTCACCATAATGCTTGAACAGTCGTGCTCCAGGCAAGAGATAGTGGGATTCTGTCAAGAGTGAAACGATTAAAATATGTTGCTAACAACGCAACGACTCACGTGCCAAGGCCTCCTTGAGGTTTCCTCTCTCTTCCGCCAGGCGTTTCTCTTCCTCCACTTCTAGCTCCCGCCGAAGGGACGCCAGAGCGTCGCGGCCGTCGTTGGTGAGTCGCTCACTCAGGTCTTGCAGCTCCCTGTACGGCGATGGCTGTTGGTGAGAATTACCAGCGCATGTGTTAGCCGTGAAGTACGGCACCAGTAGAAACAGCAACAAGACCGCCACCACCGCAACCACCATACCGCCACTACCACTACCAACACCAACAACAACGCCAACACCAGCTACCCCCTGACGAGTGTTCTAACAAATTCCTACCGGGATGAACAACTCGAGGACAGCCAGTTCCAGCAAGGGAGGTTCTGACGGATCATCCCTCAGCTCCGCCAACCTCGCCACAAGGCTCTTGATCTCTACCTATGTTTGTTCGGTCCTTCGGCGGACGGGAAAAACGAATGACCGTTCGCTTCTCATGGCAACTAACTCCCCATGCCCCAAACTACCACACTGATTGGGACGATCGCGCTAGTGTGTTTCTTTGTTGAACCACACATCATTACTCCAAGTGGACAGTGACTTTAGCGTGTCGGTTAGTCCTGGCTCTCCCATGAAGGGTGCTGTTATCGAAATGTTAGCTGGCATGGAAATGCTAATCTTTGAGGTGCTCGCATCGGAATATTATAACGTGTGTTATTGAATCAAAAACGATACAGCAGGCGACTGGATTTGGTCAACAACTTCGGACAACGAGAGTACCACGGAGTCGCCGCCAAGCTTACCGTTTCGTCCTGGCACCTTCCCGCTCCGCAAGCCTGGCCCGTGCTTCCAGCAACGCCTTATTTTCCTGCTCCAAAACCTAGAAAACGTAAAAAGCAAACGGCAGCGGGCCAACGAGTCAGGACGCGAGGGTGCAGGGGGCAGAGAGCGTTCATAAGGTGATGCGGTGGCTCAACCTCTACTCCGCTACAAGGCAATGCTACAAAGACAACTTCCACAAGTCCTTCCCACTCCTCTACCCTCCTTCCCGTCCGAGCTGCGGTGCTGACCTCGGCGCTCTCTTGGTCCATCTTCCGGTCGAACTCCCTGCGCATCTCCTCCACAACCCGCATAGGTAGCCTCCACCCACCACCTCCGCCACGGCGTCCCCTCTCCCCCGCTCGCCCCGGCGATTGAGAATCCTCTTCGTCTCTAGAGTCTTCGCCGTCTCTGACAAGTCCAACCGCCCTCATCGCTTCCTCCCCGGGCCCTTCTTCTGCAATCCTATCTCTCGTGCGCTCCTCCAAGCTTGTGCTGCCGGAAAATAGTGTTGTCGACGCGGCTGGATTTCTTCCAGCAGCGAAGACTGGGTACTCTTCGTACGTAGATGATGCTGTTCTCAAGTCCCTCCTTGCCCTCTGCATCGCAGACGTTTTCCACGAGTCTTCCTCCCGCTTCAGGGCTACCAGCTCGTGCCGCCTGGTATTTTTCGTTTGGTGGTTAGTTGCGGTATTGACAGAGACGGACACAGGTTTGAGGGAAGTAGCGCGTCGTCCAACAGATGGGCGTTCGTACAGAACGTGTCAATACCTCGGAACTCGTATTCATAAGTAACGCAACCCTCGCT